GCATAGTCTACATACAGTCCTACAAGAAAGGTGAATAATAGTTTAGATGCGCTTATGTTTAATTTTTTAAATTAATGTTTTATTATTCCTAACGTTTAATTAGCTTTACCAGACACAGAATTAACTTGAAAAGACCATTTTAAGTTGTTTGAAATCATAATTCCCAAATCTTTTTCAATTATGGTTTCTGGGAACTCTGTTTACCACTGAATCATGCATCGTGTCATTATATATCATTATATAATAACTATATTTTTTATCTATATGCATGTCTTTACATTTGCTATTATCAGTTTGTAATAGCCATAATTTTGACCATGTCATTATTTTATTTAGATCTGTTTGAGCCTTTTCTATATCTGAAGTTGTTCTAATTAGGTCAAATAGTTTTATATTGTTAGCTTACATTTTACACTTGGTTGATAACTCATTCGGTAAGTAGTTTATTTAAACAGTAAACATAAACAGACCCAAGACAGAGCCTTGTGGTACTCCATTTGGAGTACCACAAGGAGACCAATTTTAAAAATTGCCCTTGCAGACAACACGTTACACTGTTACATACAAAATTTCTGCACTATCTAAGTGCTTTATTGCTAACTCCATAAATTTTCATTTCAAGATGCAATCTGTTGTGAGCTACGAAATTGAAAGCTTTTTATATATCTAGGAAAGTGATATCTACTGATAAATTATCTTCCGATTTATTATAAATAAAGCTTCGCAGTTTATTGTAATATAATTAGTGTTTATAAAAGAGTATTTAAAGGTTTTTATAACAATTTATTGGATGCATCATTTTCATAAATCGATTAATAAGAGAAGCTTAAAAACATTTAATGATAATTGAAAGAAATTTTTTATTTATCTTAATGCAGATCAAAGATATGCTCCTCAAATATACTATTTCTTTTTTTCTGATTTTGTTACTTCCCATGATTACACACTTTTTTTTTCATAAATCACTATAATGAAGTGTATTAAACAAGAAAAAAATTTTTTTTTTTTATTAAAACCAGTGTTGATCCTAGGTAACCGGTGGTTTGATGTGGAGGCACATTTTACTAAGTTTTAGCCACAGCCATTTTTAGAGGTCTATAATTTTTCACTCAATTGTATCTTATCAGTAAATTTCTAAAAATTCAGAAGCCTACCATATATAGAAACTAAAAAAAAAATTCTTTACACTTTTCACAAAATCAACTTTTTATACTTGCAAACAATTTTTTCAGTTTTTTAATTAGCTATTATGGAAAAAATATGACATTCAAGAATTCAGTATCAAAGTTTTATTAAAGTAAGTCTAGAGTTGTATACAATAAAAAAAAACTAGAAGGTTTTCTGAAATTTTGTTTTTAAAATATAGAGCTTCAAAGTATGAACAAAACATGTTTTTGCTACTGAAGTTTTTATTTTGGAAAATAAATAATCAGAAATTTCAAATGACTATATCTCATGAACCACAAAAGATTTTATGCTGAAATTTTCAGGAATTGCTTTTCTCGTTGATATTAACAAACCCACAAAGTTTCATCAAATCTGAGGGGGTCCATGTTGAAATCCTAAAATTTTGGTTTATTTGGCATGGACCATATAGGCCACGTACTATATATGTTTTTATTATTAAATTTAATATATTTATTATATATATTTATTACATTATATAATTAAATATATACTGTACTATCAATATCATTGTTGGGTGCATCTATAGTCACCCTTTTACGTGCATCTTAAATCAGGCAACTTATCTCTAACTAATCATCTTACTCAATGTAATGTCCTGCCATGTAAAACCAATAAAGATACAACAAAACATATCGTTCCTTCAAAAACATTAACAAAAGTATATTTCTTGATAAACTTGTAACAATTTTTTTTTTTTTTTTTTTAATTATCTTCGCTTCCATCAAGGTTGCAAGCAACCACTAATTAGTGTTGGAAGTTACTGGAAGAGAAAAGATGAAGATTGTAGAGCAAGATAACGATTGACAGACGACTTAAAATATTGCAAATTATATGAATCAGGATAGCAAGATGAAGGAAGCGATTTCCAAATAACTGATGTTCGAGGAAAAAAACTAGACGAATAAGAGTTTTTGGAGCACTTAGGAACAGTAACAGAAAAAGGATGAGACTTAATTGAATGACGAGTAACACGAGAATGAATTTTAGTAGATGGCACAAGAGACGCTAGCTCTTTAGAGCAGTGCCCATTATAGTATTTGTAGAAAAGAGAAAGAGAAGCAACATTACGACGATGTGACATAGGTTGAAGGTTGGCTGCAAGAGCAGGTCGAACTATGTTTACAATGCGTTTTTGCACCTTATCTAAAAGAGAAAGGGTATCATTAGAAGATCCGCCCCAGATATGGCAACAGTATTCCATACAAGGCCGGATTTGAGATTTATAGAGATAGAGAATAGAATCCAGAGTAAGAAAGTGACAAGCTCGATAAAGAGAAGCAACTTTAGCAGATGCTAATTTTGCAACGGATTTGATATAAGGTTTCCAAGAAAGATCAGAAGTAAGAGTTAATCCTAGAAGATGAAGGGTAGGAGACTCATCGAGTACATTAGGAAGGTCTAAATTATTGCGATAACAATTGGCCGAAAAAAATTGAGTTTTATCTGAATTAAAGTTCACCAGCCACTGCGAGCCCCATGCTGTAGCAGAAGTAAGATCCTTTTCGAGCTCAGATGCCCCCTGCAAGCAATCAGAGGGAGTTGGCTTCTTATCGTGACAA